CACTTTCCACCAACGGTCATTTGTCCCCAGGATCACGGAGGCTTTCCCGAATGAAACAAGCCGTACAGCAAGGGAAGACTTCCGCTCCTGCTGATTTGCGGTATTTGAAGAAACCGCATTCCAAGGTAGACCAATCGCAGCGTTCGAGTGTGGTTAGCTTCCTTGGCCACCTATACAACAGCGTAGCGGAAACGTTACCAGACTTTCGAGATGATGTTGAGAGCGCCAAAGCCGATGTAGAACTGGTGGCTGTGAATCAGGGTTCAGACGATGAGGATGCCTATGGGGACTTGATTCAAGTGCGCGCTGAGAGCGCCAACGAGAGCCAGGCAAAACGATCCAAAGAGCGGAGAATGCGTGGCTGCGTGGAGCTGAATGTGGCACGGAAGCCGGGGGTTGGTGGGCAGGAGACCCGCTATTTACCACCAGGGCAAATGAAAGACATGTGGGAGCAATACAGACTTGGGCTACAGAATTCCACGACGAAACCTGCAAGTTTCAGTCTTTTTTGGCGGGAACTTTGGTTGCATTCATTTCTTTTAAAGAATGATTTTTGGTGAGGGTGTACTTTAAGTTTGTTCATCATTGAATCATTGAAGTATAATGTTGGTACAACCCCCACGCCAGGTTTGGTTGGCTGACTTCCCATTCTTGCGAATAAGACCTAGCCGGAGCCACCCTGAGTGCGCGGTGTGCGTCAAGATGAAGCTCTGGATACGACATCTGGGAGACCATTTGCACGCTAGACGGCAACAGCTTGCTGCGTACCACAGCCACCTCCACCACCAGTACATGGACCGGCTATGTTATTGGGAACAAAGGGGGGTGAGCCGTGCCCACGATGGCAAGACAATTCTTGCCATCGTGGACGGCATGGATCAGGCTAAGTTTGCATACCCCCGACATTTGGGGTTGAAGAGTCGCCTAGTGATAATGACGGGGCTTTTTGTTTTGTTATTGTTCCCCGACTCATTTCATATTGTTTTCGTTTGCTGCTTGACAGCCGCCCACTTCTAGCGCTCACTGTCTCAGGCAAAGAGTTCCAGAGGCTGATGAGGCCTCGTGCCCATGTGGTGGGGTGCCTGGTCCACGGCTACATGGTAGCATTCGCAGTGACAGAGCCAGACTTGCCCAAGGACAGCACAACTCACTGTGAGCTTATCGCCCACATCCTGACAAAGTTAGCTCAGCAAGGGGTGGTGCTTTCTGAAGTAAGCTTCACACTCCAATGTGATAATACCCCTCGAGAATGTAAGAACGGGATCGTCATGGCCTTCCTAACTTCGCTAGTGAGCCGGGGATTCTTGGATTTAAACAAAGTTTTTCATAGTATCTTGGGTGCCTAGTGGCCTAGTAGACTACACTGTCAACGGCCTGTCCGTGCGCGCGCCTCCCCACATCAGGAATCATTCGGGAGGCCACATTGTCCTCACTACGCACAGGTCACAGTCATGAGGACATAGACCAAACATTTGGTCGACTCGCTTCCTTCATGATTTCCCACAGTGCTCAAACACCCATCGACTTCGTGCACGTTATCCAAGCTTTCCTCCAACAGTCTGACTTTCCTTTTGAGCCTGCAGCCCACCGATGGGCTTTCAAGATGGACCAAACCAGGGATTGGTCGGCTGATTTGGGCTTCAATCCCTTTTGCACCGTATTTAATTTTCATTGATTCCCACCAGCTGTGTTTATATGTTTTTTTCAAGACTTGAGACACATCTTGACGCCCTTTGTTTCAAGGAAACCCTTCCTGCAAGCTGCTGTGCCAGTGCACCTCAAAGGCATCGGAGGTAGCGGCGCCCCTCATGTCTTCAGATTTCAAAGAAGGTCGAATTGCGGTCACTGAGATGTTGATTCAGACTCAGCAGATATTTTCAATGTCAAGCTTTGGAGATTGGGTGGTAAGGTTTTGGTGAATCCATGAACGATTGACAACGTCCCAGGTTTGCAGCCGAATGAGATTGAGGACAAGCACTTCAAGCTGAAGTTGGGCCAAATGGGAGCGGACGACGTGATTCTGAGGTCACTTTGATACAAGTCGAAAATAGAATGAAATCTCACGCATCTCTAAATGCTTTCGACTTTTTGAAGCGTGTTCCAGGTTGACGCTAGGTAATAGGCAAGTAGGTGCTCGCACGCTACTGTCAATGCTGAGGACAAAAAGGTGGATGTCGGACCAGGCTTTCGCAAAGGCCATGTTGTACTACCCTGCGCTGTTGGGCGCCGAACTGCTTCCTTCAGGTGTGCCAGCAGGCTTGTGTTTTTTTACAAAGCTTAAAGGCCTGACTGCAAACCACAGGTCTACAAATTTGACAGACAGCAAAGCCAAACTAATTGTCAGAGGCCTGAGGCAGAGCATGTGTGCTGGGTTTTGTGTCTCAACGCCGCCCCTGTCAGCCATCGCCGCAAAGAGACCAATTGGCGCCGATGTGCGGGATAACATCCTGTCCCATTTGCCAGCCTTGCGCAGCCCAATCTTCCAGCTCAATAGGGCTGCAGACCATTTGGAGAACTGGGTGAACGGGGTGTTGGATTTAGAGCCACTCCTAGATGTGCGAGCGCGCCCAAGCTGAGCCGGCATTGAATTTTTGTCCTTGTCGACACCCCAATCTACAGCAGGGGCGTCCCAATCTACAGCAGGGCAATAATTCAATTCCCCTTTAAGTTGTCCCCGCCGCTATTTTTGCGTCGTGCGTTTCAGGTGCGCAGCGTCAGCTTCGAGACGGGCGGAGCCCAGTTCTGACAAAGCTCCACTGGCTGACAACTTTGAGTCGTCGTCCAACTTGTTGACGTGTCACGGCGAACAGTGCGAATTTTCTTTTTGTCCGAAGAGCCGTGTTGTATTTGCGTTAGGTTAGCTTGAAAAGTGGCGCGCGATCGATGGGAAAACTTCCTGCTCGTCTCCAGGATCCAGCGCGTGGCCCAGAACCGCAAGGCTCTGGCTGTGTACATGCAGCAGGCAGAGGACCGCAGAATGCTTGACATTGCTGCCCGGACTTGGGCGGGCGGAGTGCCCTGGGATGAGGCGATCAAGATTGGTAGAGATGTTTTCAAGAAGATGAAGCGTAAAGACCCAAGAAGGGCAAGGGACAGCGCAGGGTAGATGATGTTGTTATCAGAAAACTTGTTACTTTATTCCTTTACCTGTGTGACCAGAACCATGTCTAGTTCCTGCGCTATCCGGATTTTTCACCCGCTTTGTGGAGCTTGCAGTGATGCTAGGTTTTAGGGTTTTCGAAGTACGCAAAAGCAACAAGTTAGAATTTAGCGTGTTCACACGTTTTCTGCAGCAAGCTGCAAATTCCTTTTTTTGAGCTGGCCGGCGCCGGTTACTGACGCACTTTGGTTGAGACGCACTTTGGTCGGGGGCTGAGCTCGAGTGCGGGACAGACGCAAGTCATGACCCAAAGAAATTGCAAGGCATGCGCTTGTTGGAAGCCTTAACTAGAGAGGCTATACGTTTGCTGTCAGTTAGCGCACACAGAGTCAGAGTCAGAGCAACTTGAAGTTTTGTTTTTTCCCCCACCGCCGATATTTTCTTGCCGCGCAGTCCAACCAATATGGTTCATTGTTTTTTGTTTGAGGTTTCCGCCATCAGTTCAAGACTACGGCGGCGGTGCGCCAACTTCAACTCAGAAGGCAAGTTCAGGGTGATTGGGCGAGAGGATGCGTACTCTCCGTTATGATTGTGCTTCCTTCAGGTTAGGGGCTACCGTGTTTCATGTAGGCTGTTCATGACTTCTTGATGTGTACGGAAACTTTTTTGCTCAAAACCTATATTTTGGTAGTGGCCTGCACCTCCCGAATCTTTGATGATGTCTTCCAATTTGCCGGTCACCGGAAGCGCGCTGCTTCCAGCTGCGCTTTTCCAGCAAAAGCTGGCGTCGTATGAGAATGAGCGAAGCCACGTCTCGTTGGCAGCAGAGATGAGGCTTGTCTTGGAAATGGCCATTGAAGAGATTAAGTCCTTGGAAGAAGACATGTGTGTCCCGTCTCTGGGGTTTTTCAAAGCAGATCTCGAGGCTCTCAAAACATTCGCCCAAGCTGTGGTGGAGAAAGGTGCAGAAAGCTTGCCTCCAATAGGAGTGGCGCAGTCGCCAAACATCCCGGTGGAAGCCACGGAGCGAGGAAAGGCCATCGAACAAGAGGTTGCGGGGTATTGGCAGGGTTTGGAGTCATGGCAAGCCTTCAAGGTGTACAAGCATGTGGACACCCTCTCAGAGTACTGTTTCCGCATTGGCGCCACCATTGGGTGGGATGAAGTTGGGGCGTTGGGCGTGAGATTGCAGAGGGCCTTGGGGTGCAAGCTGCGGATTGAAGACGGCAGAGATTGTTGGGCGTGAGCGGGCTGAACTTCGACAGCATTTTAGCAGATGAGGCCTGACAGGCCTCAGGTTCAGGAATAGGTCCTGAATAGGTCACGTAGTATACTTTGTGCACAGGGAAGGTCAAAATTGTGAGCGCCGGCTTACCCTATGGATGTCGTGATATGTCGTGGCGTCAGAATACACTCGACGCCGGATGTTTTGAAGCGTGTTTTTGTTCATTGCGTTGCGCAAGGCGCGATGATGGTAGCGAGAATGGTTCCTCGGATGGAATAGTGTTAGGCGTGTCCAGGTTGACATACCGTGGCCGTTTAGTTTTGGAAATATGCCCCTTGGTTGTGGCAACGCGCAACGCCCCATGAGGACTACTGTATGTCAATTTTCACTCCAGTTTTGGCAATGAAAAACGGACCCACCCAAATAGTAATAGTCAGGTTTTGAAAGGTCACAAGGGAGTTGGGGGGGAGCCTTTTTCATGTCAAAGTCTGTCCGAAAAATCGGCGCTACTGAAGAACTAAGTCATGGGTGATTGGGTTGTAGTTTGTGTATTAAGATTAATGTTGGCCCACGGCCCACGTATACAGCTGTGCAAGATTGGAAAGGTGTGAGGTGCAGGTCCGGTCCACATCGCAGCGTCTGTCACATGTGCTGCCAAGGCTGCGCCCTGGAGTACTTGGCAGGACATGTGGCGCAGGCCAGTTGTTGTGGAAGGTTTCTGTGACACTATAACATTGGTGTGCATCTCAAATCATGTCCTTTGCAACCACTTACCTAACAAAAAAACTGACAGTCTTTTGCGTGTGTAGGGTTCTTTGACCCGAGCTCTTCTCCCTTTCTGCTTGGACCCACAAGCCCCTGTCCTTTTTCTTCTTGACTGACTGAAGCGTTGCTTGTTTCAACCAGCGTGAGAACCGCAACACGTGCTTGAAGCCGCAGTTGAGTGCTGTCAGCGCTCGGTGGGTTGTGTTCAGAGCCTTGCTCCGTGATGTCTTGCCTGCCTCCGGTCACAGACCTGTCCAGGCCTCAAGCGCTTGATGGTTGACTTGTGAAACTGCGCGTGTGTGAAACCATGCAATCTTGCAAGAAAAGGAGGTGTGTGACTCTGTCTTTCAGGTCTGATGAGGATGGCTGTGAAGTCAACCCCGTCAAGAAGCCACCCGCGCGGCTTACCATGAAAGCAATGAAAAAGGCACATTCAAGGGCTCAGAATTGCGAACGATCTTTAGATGGCTCCTTTTTTTGCTAGCTCCTCCCACACACAACGAGAGGTTCGCACCAAGTTTAAGAAGAAGACCGCCATCAAGACAATTGTGAAGAGAAATCTCAAGGCTGCCTGTTGAGCTACTTACCAACTGAATTGTTTTCTTGAACTTGTGTTTCCGCGATTTCTGGCTTGCGCCAGCTGCCACCTCACGGCAAAATCAGCTGCCTTGGTGGACTCCACGCAGCCGCTGTCCCGTTGCAAAAGGCCCCGCAACTGTCTTGGAAGGTTGCCCTTGGCTCAGATTCCCCAGAGTACTGAGTAATCAATTCTAAGATGATGTTCTTCCACAGTGTTTTCTTAATAAGGTATCCCGCAGCAGGCCTGGCAAGAAACCTAATGGGGCTACCATATTTAGCGGTTCCAAGTGGCTGAAAGCATGGTCAACAATCAGTTCCAGGCTCAGTGCATCAAAGTGCTGCCAGGTAACGCTGTTCTCTTTTTTCGGATGACCGACCTCAGGATGCTTCTCGGCCACAACTTCGGTGGCCAAGTCAAAAGTAAGTCAACGCGGAATTGGAGTCTGAAACCTAGAACACATCAAGGCTTTATCTACAACTAGTTTTGAAACATCCCTGTGCGTACCACTTAGGATTTAGCGAACCAAGTTGCCTTTGGGGTGAAATACCGAGAAGAAATGGCAAAGCGTGGCGCCACTGCCGGACATTACGTGTCCATCAACATGGCTGAATGGTTTCAAGGCCGGAGTGAACCAATCTCAGTGAGTGACACTTGAGATCAAGGTTTCCACTTGCAATTTGGTCATTTCAATTTAACTTCAGGCTTGCCGCTTGGGTGGACCAGTGATTCTCCTGGCTCTGTGCGTCAAGGGGCAGTGCCCGACCTGTTCGAGGGCATCGGTGTGTCGGAGCGGGGTATGCTGAAATGTTTCATGTGGTTTCACATTGGGGCGTGCTTCCAAACCTGAAGTCCATGTTGCCTGTATGTTGGGATGGTCACGAACCAGCAGAGTCTAGTAGCGTGACAGGATGACAGGAAGATCCGCGCCGTCTCGCTTTTTAGCGGGGTGGGTGGCTTCGAGACCGGCCTAAGCGCGTACGGGCCTCATGTGATGCACAAGGGTCG